CGCTACACCACCACCACCACTACACCACCACCATCACCGCTACACCACCACCATCACCACCGCTACACCACCACCGCTACACCACCACCACCACCGCTACACCACCACCGCTACACCACCACCACCACCACTACACCACCATCACCACCACCACCGCCACACCACCACCACCGCCACACCACCACCACCGCCACACCACCACCACCGCCACACCACCACCACCGCCACACCACCACCGCCACACCACCACCGCCACACCACCACCGCTACACCACCACCACCACTACACCACCACCACCACTACACCACCATCACCACCACCGCTACACCACCACAACTCAATTGAGGCCGAGTCGACCTAGGGGAGCTCCACCCTCCTCCCAGCTATCTCCCTCCCACCCACGCACCTGGTGACGTCATCGCCCACCGCCGGAGGGTGACGTCACCGCTCACCTGATCGACGGAGGGTGACGTCATCGGCCCCCTCGTCGACGGAGGTGACGTCACCGCTCACCTGATCGACGGAGGGTGACTTCACCGGCCACCTCGTCGACGGAGGGTGACGTCACCGGCCACCCCGTGGAATGGTGGTGGTGATGGTGTAGCACTGGGGGAGAGACAAAGGCGGCCGGGCGTGGTGGTGCTGGTAGCCACCCACCCCCTCTGTGTAGCCACAGTGCCGGTAGCCTTCATAGGTGATGCTCGTTAACAGCACTTGCCCCTACAGCCCTGCTAGAGGCTACCTGGGGGATCTTGCCCCACATTCAAGTTTGTTCGCATGTCCAACACGAACCACCCTCAACATGAACCTCTCCCCCGTGTTTGATTTCCACGAGAGGGGTCGTCAGCGCATTTTCATTTTCCCCTCCCGTCTGCCTGTACACAGTACGCAGTCTGTGTGTGTGTCACTCGGTGTGTCTGTGTGTGTGTCTCACTCGGTGTGTCTGTGTGTGTCACTCGGTGTGTCTGTGTGTGTGTCACTCGGTGTGTCTGTGTGTCACTCGGTGTGTCTGTGTGTGTGTCACTCGGTGTGTCTGTGTGTGTGTCACTCGGTGTGTCTGTGTGTGTCACTCGGTGTGTCTGTGTGTGTGTCACTCGGTGTGTCTGTGTGTCACTCGGTGTGTCTGTGTGTGTCACTCGGTGTGTCTGTGTGTGTGTCACTCGCTGTGTCTGTGTGTGTCACTCGGTGTGTCTGTGTGTGTGTCACTCGGTGTGTCTGTGTGTCTCACTCGGTGTGTCTGTGTGTGTGTCTCACTCGGTGTGTCTGTGTGTGTGTCACTCGGTGTGTCTGTGTGTGTCACTCGGTGTGTCTGTGTGTATGTCTCACTCGGTGTGTCTGTGTGTGTGTCTCACTCGGTGTGTGTGTGTCACTCGGTGTGTCTGTGTGTGTGTCTCACTCGGTGTGTCTGTGTGTGTGTCTCACTCGGTGTGTCTGTGTGTGTGTCTCACTCGGTGTGTCTGTGTGTGTGTCACTCGGTGTGTCTGTGTGTGTGTGTCACTCGGTGTGTCTGTGTGTGTGTCACTCGGTGTGTGTGTGTCTCACTCGGTGTGTCTGTGTGTGTCACTCGGTGTGTCTGTGTGTGTGTCACTCGGTGTGTCTGTGTGTGTCACTCGGTGTGTCTGTGTGTGTGTCTCACTCGGTGTGTCTGTGTGTGTCACTCGGTGTGTCTGTGTGTGTGTCACTCGGTGTGTCTGTGTGTCACTCGGTGTGTCTGTGTGTGTCACTCGGTGTGTCTGTGTGTGTGTCACTCGGTGTGTCTGTGTGTCTCATTCGGTGTGTCTGTGTGTGTGTCTCACTCGGTGTGTCTGTGTGTGTGTCACTCGGTGTGTCTGTGTGTGTCACTCGGTATGTCTGTGTGTATGTCTCACTCGGTGTGTCTGTGTGTGTGTCTCACTCGGTGTGTGTGTGTGTCACTCGGTGTGTCTGTGTGTGTGTCTCACTCGGTGTGTCTGTGTGTGTGTCTCACTCGGTGTGTCTGTGTGTGTGTCTCACTCGGTGTGTCTGTGTGTGTGTCACTCGGTGTGTCTGTGTGTGTGTGTGTCACTCGGTGTGTCTGTGTGTGTGTCACTCGGTGTGTGTGTGTCTCACTCGGTGTGTCTGTGTGTGTCACTCGGTGTGTCTGTGTGTGTGTCACTCGGTGTGTCTGTGTGTATGTCTCACTCGGTGTGTCTGTGTGTGTGTCACTCGGTGTGTCTGTGTGTATGTCTCACTCGGTGTGTCTGTGTGTGTCACTCGGTGTGTCTGTGTGTGTCACTCGGTGTGTCTGTGTGTGTGTCTCACTCGGTGTGTCTGTGTGTCTCACTCGGTGTGTCTGTGTGTGTGTCACTCGGTGTGTCTGTGTGTATGTCTCACTCGGTGTGTCTGTGTGTGTGTCTCACTCGGTGTGTCTGTGTGTGTGTGTCACTCGGTGTGTCTGTGTGTGTGTCACTCGGTGTGTCTGTGTGTGTCACACTCGGTGTGTCTGTGTGTGTCACACTCGGTGTGTCTGTGTGTGTGTCTCACTCGGTGTGTCTGTGTGTGTGTGTCACTCGGTGTGTCTGTGTGTGTGTGTCACTCGGTGTGTCTGTGTGTGTCTCACTCGGTGTCTGTGTGTGTGTCACTCGGTGTGTCTGTGTGTCTCACTCGGTGTGTCTGTGTGTGTGTCTCACTCGGTGTGTCGGTGTGTCACTCGGTGTGTCTGTGTGTGTGTCTCACTCGGTGTGTCTGTGTCTTACTCGGTGTGTCTGTGTGTGTGTCTCACTCGGTGTGTCTGTGTGTGTGTCACTCGGTGTGTCTGTGTGTGTGTCACTCGGTGTCTGTGTGTGTGTCTCACTCGGTGTGTCGGTGTGTCACTCGGTGTGTCTGTGTGTCTCTCACTCGGTGTCTGTGTGTGTGTCTCACTCGGTGTGTCTGTGTGTGTGTCTCACTCGGTATGTCTGTGTGTGTGTCACTCGGTGTGTCTGTGTGTCTCACTCGGTGTGTCGGTGTGTCACACTCGGTGTGTCTGTGTGTGTCACACTCGGTGTGTCTGTGTGTGTCACACTCGGTGTGTCTGTGTGTCTCACTCGGTGTGTCTGTGTGTGTGTCACTCGGTGTGTCTGTGTGTCTCACTCGGTGTGTCTGTGTGTGTGTCTGTGTGTGTGTCTGTGTGGGTGTCTGTGTGTGTGTGTCACTCGGTGTGTCTGTGTGTGTGTCTGTGTGTGTCTCACTCGGTGTGTCTGTGTGTGTCTCACTCGGTGTGTCTGTGTGTGTCACTCGGTGTGTCTGTGTGTGTGTCTCACTCGGTGTGTCTGTGTGTGTCACGCGGTGTGTCTGTGTGTGTCTCACTCGGTGTGTGTCTCACTCGGTGTGTCTGTGTGTCACTTGGTGTGTCTGTGTGTGTCTCACTCGGTGTGTGTGTCTCACTCGGTGTGTCTGTGTGTCTCACTCGGTGTGTCTGTGTGTCACACTCGGTGTGTCTGTGTGTGTCACACTCGGTGTGTCTGTGTGTCTCACTCGGTGTGTCTGTGTGTGTGTCACTCGGTGTGTCTGTGTGTCTCACTCGGTGTGTCTGTGTGTGTGTCTGTGTGTGTGTCTGTGTGGGTGTCTGTGTGTGTGTGTCTGTGTGTGTCTCACTCGGTGTGTCTGTGTGTGTCACTCGGTGTGTCTGTGTGTGTCACTCGGTGTGTCTGTGTGTGTCTCACTCGGTGTGTCTGTGTGTCACTCGGTGTGTCTGTGTGTGTCTCACTCGGTGTGTGTCTCACTCGGTGTGTCTGTGTGTCACTTGGTGTGTCTGTGTGTGTCTCACTCGGTGTGTATGTCTCACTCGGTGTGTCTGTGTGTCTCACTCGGTGTGTCTGTGTGTCTCACTCGGTGTGTCGGTGTGTCACTCGGTGTGTCTGTGTCTCACTCGGTGTGTCTGTGTGTGTGTTTCACTCGGTGTGTCTGTGTCTCGCTCGGTGTGTCTGTGTGTGTGTCTCACTCGGTGTGTCTGTGTGTTTCACTCGGTGTGTCTGTGTGTCTCACTCGGTGTGTCTGTGTGTGTCTCACTCGGTGTGTCTGTGTGTGTCACTCAGTGTGTGTGTCTCACTCAGTGTGTCTGCGTGTGTCTCGCTCGGTGTGTCTGTGTCACTCAGTGTGTTTGTGTGTGCGTGTCTCACTCGGTGTGTCTAGTGTCTCACTCGGTGTGTCTGTGTGTGTGCGTGTCTGCCTATGCCGTTTCCGTGTCTGTGTCTTCTCATTCATTCTTGCCCGACGATGGCTGCTTGTGTCGCGAACCGAAACGTCGCATCCTGTTGCCGTTTAAATCTCAATTTCCACGCGACTCCACCGAGAGGATCGAACAGTGATTCCTGCGGCCGCGAAAGCTTCAAAATCGGCTTCTTACCCCCATCAGCGGTCACGGTGAAACCTCCCTGGCCCGCGTGAACATATCAAAGAACCCATCTACCCAAGAAAATGGATTCCTCATAATAAAGGTGTTTTTGGGTTAGATCGCGTTATTCATAAATGTGTCGTAACCCTCCACCACCCGACACGGCCAAGCAGTAAAAAAAAAAGTGTCACGTTTACAAAGGCCAAATAGTTCACTACTTTAGCCCACCGGTGTGTTGAAGAGTGAATCCACAACATTTACAGTTTGAGTAGTACGACGTTTCGCTGGTAAATACATCCAGCATCATCGGGCAATTCGCCAGAATGGTGAAGCCCTCACTTGCTCCCGGTCTTAAATAGAGCAGCAGGGTGACGTCATCATTTAACTCATATCAGGTGCAGCTATTTTAGGCGGAGGAGGTGGGGGGGTATTGTAATTATATAATCGATTGGTAATCAGTCAATGGCTATGACTAGTAATGAGTTGTAGATTAGTAATCAGTTGTATTCCTGCAGTCACAAAAGCTTCAAGTGAACATACACTCCTGGAACCCATAACCGATATATACTTGAGACACAGACACACACACACAGACACACACAGACACACACCACACACACACAGACACACCACACACACACACACAGACAGACACACAGACGTGGCTTCAGACTTGTCAACTTTTTGTTTTTATTCCGTAAAAAAACCCCCCCCGAGAATTTCATCTTCGTGTCGACGTATCACGAAGACGAAAGCTGCCACCCCCCCCGGGTGGCTACCAGCACCACCACGCCCGGCCGTCTTTGTCTCTCCCCCAGTGCCAGGGATGTTCACTAACACCGACACCGCCGCCGCCGCCAATGCCGCTAAACCAGGTAACTCGTTTGAGGCCGAGTCAAATCACGGGAGAGGAGGCCCCAGCAGGACCGCCTCAGATAATCGTCGACCCAACGGTGGCGGCCGAGAGCGGGAACCGAACTCGGGTCGCCGGGTTCGTAGCGCTAACCCGATAAACACTTACACCACCGCTCCCCTAAGTGTGTAAACATATGGACACGCAACACACACACCACACGCCACACGCCCGCAACTCTCCAGGAGTAGAAAAACGCGACTTTGCATTGAATGTACCAAAAAAAAGTGACTGCACGCCACAGACCTCCAACGTATTGCAAAACAACAACGGAGACAAAGCTGCCCCGCCCGCGCGCGGCCTCTTAACAGGCTAAACATGTGGACACGTGCAGATATACGCTCGCGCGCCAGGAGTAGAAAACGCCACTTTGCATTGAACGCATCAAAAACAACGGGACTAAACGCTACGCTACGCACACACAACGGCTCTTTCGGTGAAGTCACGCAGATAGGTTCAAAGAAGACAACCGTCTTTTTCGTTGTCTTCTTCCAAGCCATTGGAAACCTCATTTGCCAGTAACATGATAATTGGTTTTTTACCCTTTTATCTGGCAACAAAACTGCCGCAGCGACTTCACCGAGAGACCCAAAGAACGTGAATTCCTGCAGTCGCGAAAAGCTTCGGATTCGAGATTTTACACCGCACACCTCCATCGCATTGAAAACACAACAGGCATGAAGCTGCCCCTCTGCGGCCTTGTAACAGGCTGCGGTGGCAAGTGCAGGTGCTGCCGCTTGCTTGCTTGCTTGTAGCAGCACCACCCCCACCTCTGTGTGGCCACAGAGCACAATGGTTGGCTACGTGCGGTGGCGGAAGAAGTCCATGCACTCGGCAAGGTTGGCCATGCACTGTGCACGTGCGCACAGTCGCACCCAATCCACCCCACCCAACTTCCATCGCGACTCCTCCCCTCCCCTCCTACTCCCCCACCGCACACTACTCCTCCTCCTCCTCCCGCCGGTGCCGCCGCTGGCACCGCCGCCGCTGGTACAGCCGCTGCTTGGCCACGCGGAGCGCCGGGGCCAGGCGCACCGTGCCCCTGCGCGGCGCGGACGACCTGCCAGGCGACAGCAGGCTCCGAAGGCCCGCCAGGCCCCGCTCCGCCAGGCCGGGGTCCTCCTCGCTCAGCTCCAGCGTGAGGCGGAACGTCGCCTCCACCGCCGCCGCCGCCGCCGCGGTGGAGGCCGCCGCCGCCGGGGGGTGCTCCGGCGTGGCCTGGTCGAGCTCGTCAGTCGAGCCGCCGCTGATGCCGCCGCTGATGCCGCCGCCGCCGCAGCTGCCACCAAAGAAGCCCGACTCTCCGTCGGACGCCACCTCCCCGGCTCCTTCGTGCCCGGGCCCGGGCCTGGGCCTAGGCTCAGGCCCGCCCAGGCGAGGCATGACCCACGTGACAGCGGCCGCCCTCCGCTTCGCCGACCGGCAGCTGCCATCTTCGTTGTCGCCGTCGCCGTCGCCGTAACCGTCGTCGCGCTCCTCCTCCTCCTCCTCCTCGTCGTCCTCCTCCTCCTCCTCGTCGTCCTGGCGGCGGCGCCAGGCGGAGGAGGAAGCGGCGGGCAACACGGAGATCTCGACGAGGGCCCCGCGTAGGCCGCACGGCTCGGAGGCGGAGGCCGCGGCGAGGGCGAGGGCCGCCCGGCGCACCAGGCCCAGGGGCGCCAGCAGGCGGGAGCAGCGCAGGCGCGGCCCCTTGGCCGCCGACAGCGACGACTCGATGAGGCGGCACAGCCGAGGGACGGAGACCTCCTCCACCTCCTCCTCCTCCACCACCTCCTCCACCACCTCCTCCTCCTCTTCCCGCTTGTCCACGGAGCTCCCACAGCAGGCGGCCTCCTCCACCTCCTCGCCGTCGACCGCCACCGATGAGGAGAACGAGGAAGATGAGGACCAGGAGGAGGATGAGAAGTCGCCTACCCACGGGGGAGCCACGCGCAGTGGCAGCTGCTGCTGCTGTGGCAGCTGCTGCTGCTGTGGCTGCTGCTGCTGTGGCTGATGTTGCGGTGGCGGAGGGGACGCTACAGGGGGAAAATAAACATGGAATATATTGCAAGATATTCGTTCATTTTCAATACGCTTGGAGTGATTTTTGTCCTTCCCTCCATGATTTCGATCGCAATAGGGGGTGGTGGTGTGAGGGTGGTTGTGGTGGTGGGGGGTGATGTGGGTGGTGGTTGTGGTGGGGGGTGATGTGGGTGGTTGGTTGTGGTGGTTGTGGTGGTGGTGGGGGGTGATGTGGGTGGTGGTTGTGGTGGTTGTGGTGGTGGTGGGTGATGTGGGGGTGGTGATTGTGGTGGTTGTGGTGGGTGATGTGGGGGTTGGTGGTCGTGGTGGTGGTGGGGGGTGATGTGGATGGTGGTGGTTGTGGTGGGGGGTGGTGTGGGGTGGTGGTGATTGTAGGGGTGGTGCATCAGGATAACTATCGCAGTCAGTCGAAACTAAACAATTCAACTAAAATTTAAACGAAGCTGGCAACTAAGCTATCGGCTAAACTATTAACTAAACTATTAATGAAACGTTTCTTTCCAGGTGAAAGGGACCCACCACTCAATTGCTATGTAGCCATTCTTTTGTCAGAAGCATAGAGACTCGTAGAGATACATAGAGACCCATAGAGATACACAGAGACCCATAGAGATACACAGACCCACAGAGATACACAGAGACCCATAGAGACCCATAGAGATACACAGAGACCCACAGAGATACAGAGACCCATAGAGATACACAGAGACCCCCAGAGATACATAGAGACCCCCAGAGATACATAGAGACCCATAGAGATACATAGAGACCCATAGAGATACATAGAGACCCATAGAGATACACAGAGACCCATAGAGATACACAGAGACCCATAGAGATACACAGAGATCCATAGAGACCCACAAAGATACATAGAGACCCACAGAGATACATAGAGACCCATAGATACATAGAGACCCACAGAGACCCACAGAGAACCACAGAGATACACAGAGACCCACAGAGACCCTCAGAGCCCCACAGAGACACACAGAGACCCACAGAGATACACAGAGACCCACAGAGATACACAGAGACCCACAGAGACCCTCAGAGCCCCACAGAGACACACAGAGACCCATAGAGACCCACAGAGACCCACAGAGACCTATAGAGACCCACAGAGACACACAGAGACCCACAGAGACCCACAGAGAGACATAGAGACCCATAGACACACAGAGACCTATAGAGATACACAGAGACCCATAGACCCACAGAGACCCACAGACACACAGAGACCCACAGACACACAGAGACCCACAGACACACAGAGACCCACAGACACACAGAGACCCACAGACACACACAGAGACCCACAGAGACCCACAGAGACACAGTTTACTACGTTGTACCTTACCAGCTCTAAGCCCCACTGAGCTACTGCTGCTGAGCTCTTGAACCATTTGCGATCTGGCCATCATCACGTGGACATTTGGTTCTAAATGTGTCTGCCTGTGTGTGTGTCTGCCTGTGTGTGTCTGTCTGTGTGTGTGTGTGTCACTGTGTGTGTCTGTGTGTGTGTCTGTGTGTGTGTCTGTGTGTGTCTGTGTGTGTGTGTCTGTGTGTGTCTGTGTGTGTGTCTGTGTGTGTCTGTGTGTGTGTCTGTGTGTGTCTGTGTGTGTGTCTGTGTGTGTGTCTGTGTGTGTGTCTGTGTGTGTGTCTGTGTGTGTGTCTGTGTGTCTGTGTGTGTCTTGTGTAGTGTGTGTGTCTGTGTGTGTGTCTGTGTGTGTGTAGCGGTTAGCGCGCTGCGCTATGAACCTGGCGACCCAGGTTCGATTCCCGCTCACGCCCAACATCAGTGACGATTATCTGAACCGGTCCTGGGCCTCCCCTAGGTCGACTCAGCCTCAAATTAGTACCTAGTGCGGTGGATAAAAACATTGCCACTGGGGAGACAAAGGCGGTCGGGCGTGGTGCTGGCCACCCACCCCCTCGTGTACCGTTCCGGCCTTCATAGGTGCTCGCTAACAGCACTTGCCCCTACAGTCTGTTAAGGCTATACGGGGGATCTTTGTCTTTGTTTGTGTCTGTGTGTGTCTGTGTGTGTGTCTCTGTCTGTGTGTCTGTGTGTGTCTGTGTGTGTGTCTGTGTGTGCACCATTCTCACCTCGTCGCCTGTCCCACCACCACCACCTCCTCATCTCTCTCGCCGCCACCACCTCATCATCATCATCCTCATCGTCCGCCTCGTCACCTCCGACAGGACAGCCCTCTTCTTCTTCTTCTTCCTGCTGCTGCTCCTCCGTCGTCAGCTTCCCGAACACGCTGCGACCTCGGCTCGGCACGGCCCCGCACGGAGGGGGCTCAGAGGGCCCGCAAACGATGCACATGGCTGTGGAGAGATTTGTTTTTTTTTGGGGAGATATTAAGAAAAAAAGATGCTTTGGGTCAATTGGTCGGATTGGCGCGTCGTCTTAAAAAAAACTAAAAAATAAAACGATCCCGTTGCGTCGGCGAAGCGGAACGTTGCGCTTTTGTGCGCGAAAATCCGTCGCGTTACTTCGGTAACGATCGAGTTAGCTTTAGCTTTTTTGTTGTTGTTGCTAAATCGCAGCACGTTCAAGAGGAGCAGCGTTTTAACGGCGAGGCTCTCCGCCTTATATACCCCGCTGGCTGGTGACGACAGAGTGGGGGGAGGTGGCTTGGGGAGGGGGCCGTAACCAATCAGAGAGCTCGGATCCAGGACTGCTCCTCCCTCCCATCCCCGCGGTTGACAACAGTGGGGGGTTGGGAGAACCAATCAGAGAGCTGGGATCGTGCGCGAGACTCACTCCAGAATGGTCCCCCCCCTTTCTCCCACCCCCGAGGGTGACAACAGTGGGGGGTGGGGGTGGGAAGAACCAATCAGAGGGCTGGGATCGTGAACGAGCCCCCAGCCCGGGCGTTGGCCAATGGGGGGTGAGGGGGGGAGGGGAGAGAGGAGCAGACAAAGACAAAGCTACCGCAGGTAGACACTAGCAGGGCTGTAGGGGCAAGTGCTGTTACATAGACACAGACAAAGGTCCCCCAGGTAGCCTCTAGCAGGGCTGTAGGGGCAAGTGCTGTTACATAGACACAGACAAAGGTCCCCCAGGTAGCCTCTAGCAGGGCTGTAGGGGCAAGTGCTGTTACACAGACACAGACAAAGGTCCCCCAGGTAGCCTCTAGCAGGGCTGTAGGGGCAAGTGCTGTTACACTCACAGAGACAAAGATCCCCCAGGTAGCCTCTAGCAGGGCTGTAGGGGCAAGTGCTGTTACACAGCCAAAGGTCCCCCAGGTAGCCTCTAGCAGGGCTGTAGGGGCAAGTGCTGTTACACTCACAGAGACAAAGATCCCCCAGGTAGCCTCTAGCAGGGCTGTAGGGGCAAGTGCTGTTACACAGACAAAGGTCCCCCAGGTAGCCTCTAGCAGGGCTGTAGGGGCAAGTGCTGTTACACTCACAGAGACAAAGATCCCCCAGGTAGTCTCTAGCAGGGCTGTAGGGGCAAGTGCTGTTACACAGAAAAAGGTCCCCCAGGTAGCCTCTAGCAGGGCTGTAGGGGCAAGTGCTGTTACACAAACTCGGACAAAGATCCCCCAGGTAGCCTCTAGCAGGGCTGTCGGGGCAAGTGCTGTTACACAAACACAGACAAAGATCCCCCAGGTAGCCTCTAGCAAGGCTGTAGGGGCAAGTGCTGTTACACAAACACAGACAAAGATCCCCCAGGTAGCCTCTAGCAGGGCTGTAGGGGCAAGTGCTGTTACACAAACACAGACAAAGATCCCCCAGGTAGCCTCTAGCAGGGCTGTAGGGGCAAGTGCTGTTACACAAACACAGACAAAGATCCCCCAGGTAGCCTATAGCAGGGCTGTAGGGGCAAATGTTGTTACACAGACAGACAAAGCTACCCCAGGTAGCCTCTAGCAGGGCTGTAGGGGCAAGTGCTGTTAACGAGCATCACCTATGAAGGCTACCCGCACTGTAGCTCCACAGAGGGGGTGGGTGGCTACCAACACCATCACGCCCGGCCGTCTTTGTCTCCCTCTATCGTGAATATCGCGACGCCCAGGATTATCGCGACGCCTCCACGATATCGCGATACCCACGATATCGAGACGCCCCACGATATGGAAAGTCCCCACGATATCGCGATACGCACGATGTCGCGATACCCACGATATACGGACGCCCCAGGATATCGTGTTAACCACGATGTCGCGATGCCCAACTATATCGCGACGCCCACGATATCGCGATACTACACGATATCGTGATAACTCACGATATCGCGATAGCCTACGGTATCGCGATAACCCACGATATCGCGACAACCCACGATATCGCGATAACCCACGATATCGCGATAACTCACGATATCGCGATAACCCACGATATCGCGATAACCCACGATATTGATGGCCCCACCTCCAAGCCTCCGATCGGGTGGCGATGTCACGTCTGTCACGTAGACACGGCGAGCGGGACTATGTGTATCTGCGTGTGTGTATCTGTGTGTGTGTCTGTCTTTGTTTTTGTGTGTCTGTGTGTGTGTCTTTGTTTTTGTGTGTCTGTGTGTGTGTCTGTGTGTGTCTGTGTGTCTGTGTGTCTTTGTTTTTGTATGTCTGTGTGTGTATCTGCGTGTGTGTATCTGTGTGTGTGTGTCTTTGTTTTTGTATGTCTGTGTGTGTCTTTGTTTTTGTGTGTCTGTGTGTATGTCTGTGCGTGTATCTGTGTGTGTATCTGTGTGCGTGTCTGTGTGTGTCTGTGTGTCTGTGTGTGTGTATCTGTGTGCGTGACTGTGTGTGTGTCTGTGTGTGTGTCTGTGACTGTGTGTGTGTGTCTGTGTGTCTGTGTCTGTGTGTGTCTGTGTGTCTGTGTGTGTGTATCTGTGTGCGTGTCTGTGTGTGTGTGACTGTGTGCGTGTCTGTGTGTGTGTGTGTCTGTGTGCGTGTCTGTGTGTGTGTCTGTGTCTGTGTGTGTGTCTGTGTGTGTGTCTGTGTGTGTCAGAGACTATTATCTGAACCGGTCCTGGGACTCCCCTAGGTCGACTCGATCTCTAATGAGTAGCTGGTGTAGCGGTGGTGGTGGTGCAGTGAACATCGCCACGAGGGAGACAAAGGCGGCCGGGCCTGGTGCTGGCCACCCACCCCCTCTGTGTGTGCCACAGTGCCGGGAGCCTCATAGGCTGTGTGTTTACAGCACTTGCCCCTACAGCCCTGCTAGAGGCTACCTGGGGGAGCTTTGTCTGTGTGAGTGTAACAGCACTTGCCCCTACAGCCCTGCTAGATGCTACCTGGGGGAGCTTTGTCTGTGTGAGTGTAACAGCACTTGCCCCTACAGCCCTGCTAGAGGCTACCTGGGGGATCTTTGTCTTTGTCTGTGTAACAACACTTGCCCATACAGCCCTGCTAGAGGCTACCTGGGGGATCTTTGTCTTTGTCTGTGTGAGCTCCAACCGGCGGGAACCGGCGCGTGTGAGGATTTCTGTTTATCGTCTCCAGCACCACACAGACAAAGACAAAGCTCCCCCAGATAGCCTCTAGCAGGGCTGTTGGGGCAAGAGCTGAAAACACGCACAGACACACTGACAAAGATCCCCCGTGTAGCCTTAACATACTGTAGGGGCAAGTGCTGTTAGCGAGCACCTATGAAGGCCGAAACGGTACACGAGGGGGTAGGTGGCCAGCACCACGCCCGACCGCCTTTGTCTCCCTAGTGGCGATGTTTACACACCGCACCAGGTACTCATTTGAGGCTGAGTCGACCACACACACAGACACACACACAGACACACACACACAGACAACAACAACCGCCATTCGCCACTAAGTGGCGGTGACGTCACCACGACGCTTGTGCCAGGCTATGTGCACCTTGAGGCCACGTGAAGTGTCGAACGCCCGCTGGCAGGAGGTCACGGGGCAGACCCAGGTGCCACGGGTCGACTGACTGCGATGAGTGGCTGATGCACCACCTGTGCCCCCTACTGTGCCAACCTGCTGTGCTTTAGCCACACGGCGCTTCGCTCGTTGTTGTGAGCGTCGCTCCTCCGCCCTCCGTTGTTGTTGGAGGGCGACTACCTCCAACTGCCCAGTAGCGTCCTTCACGAGCTTCCTCCACAGAGGCCGATGTTGACACCGCTGGTACCAGCCATCGGCAAGTCCACTCAGCTCCACGTCCTCCTGTACCACATCACTCCATTTCTTCTCTAGCCCGTGCCGCGCCCGCTTAGCCCCCTCGATCCGACCGAACAAAAGCTGTTTCGGCATGCGGTGGCTGGGCATGCGGGCTACATGACCCAGCCAACGCAGCCTTGCCTGCCGGAGGAGCTCACCGATGGGACCTTGCCCAGATCTTTCAAGGATTTGTGAGCTCCTCACACAATCCAGTCAGGTTAAACCCAGGATGGATCGTAGGCAGGCCAGCCTAAATGTTTCTAACCGGCGAAGATGTTCCATTAGGGGGGTCCATGTTTTGCAAGCGTAGAGAAGGGAGGGAATGACCGTGGCCGAGAAGACCTGAAGCTTAGTGCGGAGCGACAGACCAGGTAGCTTCCACACAGCGTTACGCAACCGATGAAAAGATATTGCCGCTCGACTGATTCGGAGTGAGACCTCTGCTGTTAAACTGGAGCCAGTCATAAGCACACTGCCCAGGTATGGGAAACTCTCCACTCTCTCCACAACTGCCCCATCACCGATTGGGAGTTGTGGGGGTGGAGCGTCCGTTGGTACAAAATACCCAGGCAGGTGCTTAGTTTTGGTGGGGCTGATGGTAAGGCCCCATCTCTTAGTGACACGCTCCAGTCTCAGCAGCAGCGTCTCCAACTCCTCCTCTGAATGAGCAGCTATTACCAAATCATCAGCATACATAACGTGGTTGAGCAATAGGGAGCCATCCCTTGACCGCACCCGGGCATCGATCAGCCTCCCATTATATCTGTACCATATGGAAATTCCCCGGGTACAGCTGTTGAAGGGTTCACGAACTACGTGGTCAAAATAGATGTTAAATAATGTGAGAGCCAGACGACATCCCTGTCGCACCTCAAGGTGTACAGGGAATGGCTCTGACTCCCGACCACGTAGTTTTACCTGGGCCCGCTCACCATCATGAAGGTCCTTAATGATCGTGAGCAGAGGGTCAGGTACTCCAAAAGCACGAAGAACAACCCAGAGCCCAGGCCTATTGAGGGTATCATAGGCCTTGACCAGGTCAATAAAGCAGAGATGTAGGTCTTGTTGGAATTCCTTACACCTCTTCTGTAGCAGACGGACAGAAAATGTGGCATCTGTGCAGGACCGCCCTTTCCTGAAACCGCATTGGGGCTCCGCAAGCCTCTCCTCAGCGTGCCTAGCAAGGCGATGCTGAATAATCCTTGCCAGGACCTTTCCCGGGACACTGAGGAGTGAAATGCCCCTGTAGTTGTTATGTCTGTGCGGCCCCCCTTCTTAAAAAGGGGGACCACCAGGGCATCCTTCCAATCCTGCGGAACCCATCCAGTGGTCCAGACTGTTGTTATGATGTCATATAGGGCAGTCTGCGCACAAACGCCACCCTCCCTCAGGATTTCGCTATGGGAGATCATCTCTGCCCGGTGCCGTTCCTGGTCTCAGACTCTGGATCTCCTTTAGTACTTCCTCAATAGATGGCACCTCAGCCAGCCACTCACAGGGGTGACTTCCTCCTCCAATATTTGAGGCACCACAGCCTCAGCAGGGTCATCACCACTTTGTCCCTTGATGTTTTCCAGGCTGAGGGATTTCCCCTCCCCCAGGACCTCCCAGAAATTCTCAGCAAATCTGCAAACCTGTTCCTGGGGGTCAGAGATTGGATCACCATTTTTTCCATTAATGATGGTAATAGGTGTGGCGCTGCAGG